AAGCCATTATCTATGAGTTATTTTGGTGAAAAAATATAGTTTAGGCCCTCAAAATCAACCTTCACAGGTTTTCAAGAAGATGCGTACCACCTGGACTTGGAGTACGTGAAACGGTATGAGTGCGATAAAAGCCGATGAAAAACTTTTAGGCTAGGTTTGAGCTATTTGGACCTAGTTTGATGTGAAATGGGCCAATGAACAAAACGCATAGCTATAAGCCTTGACCTATGAGTTATTTTGATCAAAACATATAGTTTATGCCATCAAAATCGGCCTTTATAATTTTCAAGAAGATACAAGCCAACTGGACTTGGAATACGTGAAACGATATGAGTGCGATAAAAAATAATGAAAAAACTATTGGGTTAGGTTTGAGATGTTTGGACCTTGTTCGATGCGAAACGAGCCAACAACCAAAACTCATAGCTAAAAGCCATGACCTATGAGTTATTTTTTGTCAAAAAAGATAGTTCAAGTCCTCAAAATCAGCCTTCGCAGCTTTTCAATAAGATGCGGACCAATTGATTTTGGAATACGTAGAACGGTGTGAGAGTGATAAAAGCCGATGAAAAACTATCGACACAATTTTGAGTGATTTAGGACTAGTTCAATGTGAAACGGGCCAACGATCAAAGCTCATTCCTTTAAGGCATGTCCTATAAGTGATTTTGATAAAAAAAAATGTTGTTTAGGCCCTCAAAATCAGCATTCATGGTTATTCGAGAAGATACGACCTTAACCGGATTTAGAATACTTTAAACGTTATGAGAGTAAGAAAAATTGAAGAAAAACTATCAACCTAGTTTTGAGTCGTTTGGACCTAGTTCAATGTGAAACGAGCCAACAAACAAAACTCATAGCTATAAGCCTTGACATATGAGTTATTTTGGCCAAAAAATGTAGTTCGGGGTGTCAAAATCAGCCTTCATAATTTTTCGAGAAGATACGGGCCAACTGGTTTTGGATTACGTCAAATAGTGTGAGAGCGATAAAAATTGATGAAAAACTATCGATCGGATTTTGAGCAATTTGGTACAAGTTCGATCCGAAATGGGCTAACGATCAAAACTCATAGCTATAAGCAATGACCTATGAGTGATTTTTGTAAAAAAAAAAAAATAGTTTCGGCCCTCAAAATCAACCTACATGGTTTTTCATGAAGATATGAGCCAACCGAACTTGGAATCCGTGAATGGTGTGTATGTGATAAAAATTGACGAAAACCTATTAGGTTAGGTTGGAGCTCCTTGGACCTAGTTCGATGCGAAACGGGCCAACGACCAAAACTCATAGCTATAAGCCATTATCTATGATTTATTTGGGTGAAAAAATATAGTTTAGGCCCTCAAAATCAACCTTCACAGCTTTTCAAGAAGATGTGTACCAACTCGGACTTGGAGTACGTGAAACGGTATGAATGCGATAAAAATTGATGAAAAAATTTTAGGCTAGGTTTGAGCTATTTGGACCTAGTTTGATGTGAAATGGGCCAATGAACAAAACTCATAGCTATAAGCCTTGACCTATGAGTTATTTTGGTCAAAACATATAGTTTATGCCATCAAAATCGGCCTTTATAATTTTTCAAGAAGATATAAGCCAACTGGACTTGGAATACATGAAACGATATGAGTGCGATAAAAAATAACGAAAAAACTATTGGGTTAGGTTTGAGATGTTTGGACCTTGTTCGATGCGAAACGAGCCAACAACCAAAACTCATAGCTAAAAGCCATGACCTATGAGTTATTTTTTGTCAAAAAAGATAGTTCAAGTCCTCAAAATCAGCCTTCGCAGCTTTTCAATAAGATGCGGACCAATTGGTTTTGGAATACGTGGAACGGTGTGAGAGCGATAAAAACCGATGAAAAACTATTGACACAATTTTGAGTGATTTAGGACTAGTTCGATGTGAAACAGGCCAACAATCAAAGCTCATTCCTTTAAGGCATGTCCTATAAGTGATTTTGATAAAAACAAATGTTGTTTAGGCCCTCAAAATCAGCATTCATGGTTATTCGAGAAGATACGACCTTAACTGGATTTAGAATACTTTAAACGTTATGAGAGTAAGAAAAATTGAAGAAAAACTATCAACCTAGTTTTGAGTCTGTTTGGACCTAGTTCGATGCGAAACGATCCAACGATCAAAACTCATCGTTATAAGCCATGAACTATGAGTGATTTTGATAAAAAAAATATATATATAGTTTATGCCCTCATAATCGACCTTCATAGTTTTTCAAAAAGATACGGGCCAACTTGGACTTGGAATACGTGAAATGGTGTGAGTGCGATAAAAATGAAGGAAAAACTACCGGGCTAGGTTTGAGTAGTTTGGACATTATTCAATGCGAAACGGGCCAACGACCAAAACTCATAGCTATAAGCCATGACCTATGAGTTATTTTGGTGAAAAAATGTAGTTTAGCCCCTCAAAATCTGCTTTCATAGTTTTTCAAGAAGATACGAGCCAACTAGACTTGAAATATGGGAAAAGATGTGAGTGTGATCAAAGCCGATGAAAAACTATCGGGCTATTTTGAGTCGTTTTGACCTAGTTCGATGCGAAACGGGCTAAAGATCAAAACTCATCGCTATAAGCCATGAGCTATGAGTGATTTCGATAAAAAAAATATTATTTACGCCCTCAAAATCAACCTTCATAGATTTTCAAAAAGATACGAGCCAACTAGACTTGGAATACGTGAAACGATGTGAGTGCGATAAAAGCCGTCGAAAAACTATCGGGTTAGGTTTGAGTTGTTTGGATATTATTCGATGTAAAACGGGCTAACGACCAAAACTCATAGTTATAAGCCATGACCTATGAGTTATTTTGGTGAAAAAATATAGTTTAGCCCCTCAAAATCGCTTTTATAGTTTTTCAAGAAGATACGAGCCAACTAGACTTGAAATACGGAACAAGATGTGAGTGTGATAAAAGCCGATGAAAAACTATCGGGCTAAGTTTGAGTCTGTTTTGACCTATTTCAATGCAAAACGGGCTAAAGATCAAAACTCATGGCTATAAGCCATGACCTATAAGTGATTTTGGTAAAACAAATATGTCATTTAGGCCATCAAAATCATCCTTCGAGGTTTTTTTACAAAGATTCAAGCCAATTGGACTTGGAATACGTGAAATGGTGTTAGTGCGATAAAAGCCGATGAAAACTATCGAGCTAGGTTTGAGCCGTTTGGACCAAGTTCGATGCGAAACGGGCCAACAATCGAAATACATAGCTATAAGCCATGACTTATGAGTTATTTTGGCAAAAAAATATAGTTTAAACCCTCAAAATCGAGCTTTCATAGTTTTTCAAGAAGATACGGGCCAACTAGTCTTGGAATATGTGAAAAGGTGTGAGTGCGATAAAAGCCGATGAAAAACTTTTGGGCTAGGTTTTAGCTGTTTGGACCTAGTTCGATGTGAAACGGGCCAATGAACAAAACTCATAGCTATAAGCCTTGACCTATAAGTTATTTTGGTAAAAAAAATGTAGTTTAGGCCTTCAAAATCAGCCTTCAAAATTTTTCAAGAAGATATGGGCAAGCTGGACTTAGAATACGTGAAACGGTATGAGTTCGATAAAACCCGATGAAAAACTATCGGGCTAGGTTTGAGTCTGTTTGGACCTAGTTCAATGCAAAACGAGCCAACGATCAAAACTCATCACTATAAGCCATGACCTATGAGTGATTTTGGTAAAAAAAAATATAGTTTAGGATGTTAAAATCAGCCTTCATGGTTTTTCAAAAATATTCGAGCCAACTCGGACTTGGAATACGTAAAATGATGTGAGTGCGATAAAAAATGACGAAAAACTATTGAGCTAGGTTTGAGATGTTTGGACTTAATTCGATGCAAAATGGGCTAACGAGCAAAACTCTTAGCTACAAGTTGTGACCTATGAGTTATTTTTTGTTAAAAAAGGTAGTTTAGGCTCCCAAAATCAACCTTCATGGTTTTTAAAGAAGATGTGAAAAAATTAGTTTTGGATTACGTCGAACGGTGTGAGAGCGATAAAAACTAATGAAAAGCTATCGACCTAATTTTGAGCGATTTCAACCTATTTTGTTGTGAAACGAGTCAACGATCAAAGCTCAATGCTTTAAGCCATGACCTATGAGTGATTTTGGTAAAAAAAATATAGTTTAGGCCCTCAAAATCATTATTCATAGTTATTCAAGAAAATGCAGCCTAACCGGATTTAGAATACTTCAAAAGTTATGAGAGCAAGAAAAACTATCGACCTAGTTTTTAGCCTGTTTGGACCTAGTTCGATGCGAAACGAGCCAACAATCAAAACTCATCGCTATAGGGCATGACCTATTAGTGATTTTGGTAAAAAAATATATTTTAGGCCCTCAAAATTAGCCTACATGGTTTTTCAAGAAGATACCGACCAATTGGACTTAGAATATGATACGAGCCCAAGCCCAATGACGAGCCCAAGCCTAGTGACTCCCTATCCAATGGTTTATTCTAGAAGAAAGGCAAAAAGGAATCGAAGGCCAATCGAGTAGTGGCTACGGCAAATTAATTATGAGTTAGTTATTTGGTGTCGTTGTCGTTAGTGGAGGGAAATTGGTGTGCGTATGGTGTGTGTTTGTGTCCGTTGTGCTAAGTCGGCCTTTTGTGTTATGGCAAGCAGTTCGTGAATAAAAAAGAGAGAGGTGGGGAATATGAGATCATTTAGAAAAGTAGGGAATTGGTGGTTAGTAGACGTTTTCGTCCGAGGAGAGAAAAGACCTCTCGAATTGTCCTCTATTATGTACCGCCATTGATATTTGATTCAATACAATATCCCCACTTGTCTCTAATCTTTACTATATTTACTTCTTCCACCATTCGTATTTCTCTCGTTTTCTACTACTAAAACGATAGTCTCTACCATTTTGGTATCGAGCACACAGATTCCTCCCGTGGGTTATGATAAGAACAAGAATGGAGCCGGGGTCGATCAATTGGAGAAGGACGTCGTCAAGATTCGGCAATGAAGAATCAAATCACCGACCTTACCACCACTATTGCTTCGATAGCTCAACAATTGGAGCGGATTGAAGCCAAAATCACTTACACCCCCCACCTTGACATTCTTGAGAAATCCCATAACACACCACACGATGGCCCTCCAAACACCAAAACACTCACACCAAAGAACCAAACCATAGACACCAATAAGACTCGCTCCGATTCTCGACCTTTTGACCGAGAGAAGTTTCCTTGGAAGCTTGAGTTACCGGTGTTTAATGGAGAGGACCCTAGTGCTCGGATTTTTCGCACGGAGTGCTATTTTTCCATTAACGAGCTCTTGGAGGAGGAGAAGTTGGAAGCCTGCAGTGTCCGTTTTGAAGGAGAGGCGCGAGGCTTGGTTGAGGTTTGAGGAAAGGGAAGCTCTATTCCGGCCTTGGTTCGAGTTGAAGGTCCAAATGCTTCGGAGGTTTGCGGATTCGCGGGCGGGGAACCTCTTACATCGTTTCCTTACTCGTTAAGCGGAGAGGGACCGTGGCCGAGTACGGGGCTCGGCTCGAATTCCTAGCAACGAACATTGGGAAAGTTAGAGGAAGGAACATTAGTTGCGGTGTTTGTGAATGGACCGAGGGAAAATATCAAGGCCGAATCGATGGTGTTGAGCCCGGTAGGCCTCAAGGAAACCATTGAAGTGGCGATGTGGATCGAGGCCAAGAACATGATCCCGACCTAGCCTACCTTCAACAAACCCAACAAGGAACCCCCTTCAATCTAATCGAAATATGATTTCAAGACTATCTCGTGGACTCCATCGAAACCCGAAGAAAAACTCGCCACCCCAACAACTCAACAAGCATTTCCAAGCCCTCGAAGCACGTGGCCGAACGGACTCTAAGCCACCGGACCCCAAGCAAGTCTCTTCCTACTCTTCTAACTCAACGCTTCCATTTCCCTCTAATTCTCGGTTCAAGCGTCCGTCACTCGTAGAAGCTTAAGCTCGATAAGAGCGGGGATTGTGCTACAAGTGCGAAGAGAAGTGGCATGTCGACCACCGTTGTAGGAATAAGGAGCTCCATGTACCGCTTATCGGTGAAGATGGAGTTGGGGAGGAGGGTGAAGCCATAGAGGCCCGGACCAAAGACGAGTTAGCGGGAGTGGAGTTTTCTCTTAACTCCGTAGTGGGTCTCTCGTAACCGGCAGACCCTAAGGATGAAGGGAGAAGTGCGGGGCACTCCGGTGGTGGTCTTGGTCGATTGCGACGCCACCCATAACTTTATCTCTTCGTATTTGGTCTCTTCCCTCAAATTGCCCATATCCGTAACCCAAGATTATGGAGTAATAGTAGGATCCGGCAACAAGATTCAAGGGAATGGGATATGTAAAGGGGTACCGCTTCGCTTGCAAGAGTTAACCGTTGTGGAAGATTTTCTTCCAGTCAAATTAGGGAGCTCGGACTTAATCTTGGGAGTGAAATGGTTGGCCACACTTGGGGTGACTCGTAACGATTAGCGCAAGCTTACTATGACGTTCGAGTTGGGAAGCCGACCGTGGTCTTAAGGGGAGACCCAACCCTCGGCGAAATCCTTAGTCTTGCTCAAGTCATTAGTCAAGACTATCCAACACGAAGGAGGAGGAATGTTGATCGAACCGTGCCGGATATCAACGGAGGAGAACCTATGACCCAAAGTGATTGATCCCGTGATAAAGGGAATGCCGAGTGATTTTGAGGATATCTTCCAAATGCCATCGGGTCTCCCACCTCGGAGGGGCCACGATCATGCCATTGTGTTAAGGGAGGGAACCGAGCCTATTAATGTCCGTCCTTATCGCTATCCACAGATTCGGAAGGCCGAGATCGAACGGTTGGTGGCCGAAATATTGGCGGCAGGAATTATTCGACCTAGCAACGACTTCTTCTCAAGTCCGGTGTTACCGATACGGAAAAAAGATGGGAGTTGACGATTTTACGTCGATTACAAAGCTTTGAACGAAGCTACCATGCCGGATCGATTTCCTATTCTAAACATCGACGAATTGCTCGATGAACTACATAGAGCGACCGTGTTTACCAAGCTTGATTTAAAATCGAGCTACCACCGCATTCGATTATAAACTAATGATGTCCATAAAACGGCCTTCGCACCCATGAAGGTCATTATGAATTCCTTGTCATGTCATTCGAGTTAACGAATACGCCGGTGACATTTTAATCATTGATGAATTTTATTTTCAAAAGGCTTCTTCGGAGGTATGTGCTAGTTTTCTTCGATGATTTCTTAATATATAGCACCACGCTCGAGGATCATTTGTTGCATATATGGGAAGTGCTAGCTGTGTTTGCGAGCTCATAAATTGTATACCAATTTAAGAAAATGTTGTTTCGTCAATCGAGCTCGAATACCTTGGCCACATCATTTCGTGTCATGGCGTTACAACGGACCCCGATAAAGTGAAGGCTATGATAGATTGGCCATCGCCCACGTCTCCCAAAGAGCTATGGGGTTTCTTGGGCCTCACCGGCTATTATCGGAGGTTCGTTAAGGGATATGGGCATATTGTTGCCCCACTCACACAACTCTTGAAGAAGGATAATTTTTTATGGAGTGATGAAGCAACGGCAGTCGTGAATGACCTTAAAACAACCATGATAAACGTGCTTGGTTCTAGCGCTACCGAATTTAGTGCACCTTTTGTGATTGAAGCCCATGCCTTGGGGTTTGGACTTGGCGTAGTATTGACCCAAAAGGGGCGGCCTTTAGCTTTCTTCGGTCGCACCGACGGGAAAAGCACGCTTCAAATCGCTTTATGAACGAGAACTTATGGCAATTGTTCTCACCATACAAAAATGGCATCACAATGTATTAGGTCGCCACTTCATTATGAAAACGGATCAACGAAGCCTCAAATTTCTACTAGAGCAACGGATGGTAGCACCTGAATACCAACGCCGGGCCGGTCAAGTTGATTGGCTATGACTTCGAGATACAATACAAGTCGGAGTGGAGAATCGTGCTGCTCGATGCCTTGTCGAGGGTGGCGGATGCAACCTCATTACATGCCTTAAGTGTGCCAAGATTATGGGATTGGGAAGTGATAAAAAAAGAGGTGAGCTAAGACTCTAAACTACACTCCATAAGGGAAGATATCCGGGACAACCCATTGAAACATCCCGGTCGGACCATTCAAAATGACCTCCTCTATTACAACCAATGCGTGGTATTGCCTAAGAACTCCTCTCTTATACCATCTATTTTGGGCGAATTCCATGATAGTCCAGGTTGGTGGTCATGGGGGCTTCCTTAAGACATATAAACGAGTTACTTTCGAGCTCTATTGGGAAGGACCGAAGTCAAACATTAAGCGATATGTTGCCAATCGCCAAATCTATCAGCAAAGCAAGTATCAAATGCTCTCCCTAGCCGGACTTCTCCAGCCTCTTCCTATTCCCGAAGCCATTTGGGACGACTTATCCATGGATTTTATCGAAGGGTTACCAAAATCACATGGATTTAACTCTATTCTGGTTGTGGTGGACGGACTCGGTAAATATTCTCATTTCCTCCCCCTCAAACACCCATTTACGGCTAGGAAAGTGGCTAAGGAATTCCTTCTCAATGTGGTGAAACTACACGGGTTTCCTAAATCTATTATCACCGATTGTGATAAAGTGTTTTTAAGCAATTTTAGGCTGAATTGTTTCGCTTGCAGGACACCAAACTCCACAGGAGCACGACATATCATCCTCAAAGTGACGGGCAAACCGAGGTGGTGAATTGTCGTGTGGAAACTTATTTAAGATGCTTTGCTTGGTGTTTAACCCAAAGGTCGGTCCCGTTGGTTGCATTGGGTGGAGTATTGGTATAACACCTCGTACCACACTTCCACCAAATCTATTCCTTTTAAAATTGTCTATGGAAGGGATCCTCCACTCGTTGGTGAAATACCCATCACATGGGACGAGCAACTCGATTTGGACTCTCGAGTTGCAGCAGCGTGACACTATCATTATTGAATTGGAGCGACTAATATTGGCCCAAAATGCGATGAAAACACATGCCGATAAGCATCGCAAGGACTTATCTTTTACTCGTTGGGGACATGGTCTACTTGAAATTGAGGCCCTATCGGCAACATTCCCTCGCTCACAAACTCAATGAGAAACTGTCGTCGAGATATTTCGGTCCGTATGTAATGCTCGCGACAAATTGGCCGGAGTTGCTTATAAACTTGATCTCCCTTCCACCTCCAGCATCCATCCCATTTTTCACATCTCTTAACTCAAAAAGGCGAGTAGGAGGCTGCTCGTCCCAATCCGACCTTTTCCACCCGTTTTAATCGATGACTTGGAATGGGTTATTGAACCGGAGGTGGTGCTTGGATACACGTAGGAGTACTTCTAGGCCGCAAGTTCCGATCCGTTGGAAGCATCTTCCTAATTTTAAGGCCACATGGGAATCGACGAAATGATCATGAACCAATTTCTAGAATTTCACCTTGAGGATAAGGTGAAAGTGCACAGAGGGAGTATTGATACGAGGCCAAGCCCGATGACGAGGCCAAGCCCGGTGACTCCCTATCCAATGGTTTATTCCAAAAGAAAGGCAAAAAGGAATTTGAAGGCAAATCGGTAGTGGCTGCGGCAAATTAATTATGAGTTAGTTATTTGGTGTCGTTGTCATCGGTGGAGGGAAATTGGTGTGCGTATGGTGTGTGTTTGTGTCTGTTGTCGCTGAGTTAGCCTTTTCTCGTTATGGCAGCGAGCTATGAATAAAAGAGAGAAAGGTGGGGAATATAAGATCATTCGGAAAAGTAGGGAATTGGTGGGTAGTAGACGTTTTCGAATTGTCCTCTATTATGTATCGCCATTGATATTCGATTCAATACAATATCCCTACTTGTCTCTAATCTCTACTATATTTACTTCCTCCACCATTCGTATTTCTCTATTTTCTACTACTAAAACGATAGTCTCTACCGAATATGTGAAACGATGTGAGTATGATAAAAACTCATGAAAAACTGTCGAGCAAGGTTTGAGTCTGTTTGGATCTAGTTCGATGCGAAACGAGCCAACAATTAAAACCGATCGCTATAAACCATGACCTATGAGTGATTTTCGTAAAAATAAAATATAGTTTAGGCTCTCAAAATCAGCCTTCATAATTTTTCAAGAAGATACGGGCCAACTGGACTTGGAATACGTGAAACGATGTGATTGCGATAAAAAATGATGAAAAAGCTGTCAAGCTAGGTTTGAGTTCGTATAGACTTAGTTCGATGCGAAACGAACCAACGATCAAAACTCATAGCTATAAGCCATGACCTATGAGTTATTTTTGGTCAAAAAAGATAGTTTAGGCCCATAAAATCAGCCTTCACGGCCTTTCAGAAGATGCGGACTAACTGGTTTTGGATTATGTCGAACAATGTAAGAGCAATAAAAGCCGATGAAAACTATCGATCCAATTTTGAGTGATTTGAACCTAGTTCGATGCGAAACGAGCCAACGATCAAAACTCATTGCTTTAAGCCATGACCTATGAGTGATTTTGGTCAAAAAAATATAGCTTATGCCCTCAAAATTAGCATTCACGGTTATTCAAAAAGATACAACCAACTCGGATTTAGAATACCTTGAACGTTATGAGAACACAAAAAACTATCGACCTAGTTTTGAGTTGTTTGGATATAGTTTGATGCGAAACGAGCCAACGATCAAAACTCATCGCTATAAGCCATGACCTATGAGTATTTTGGTAAAAAAAATGTAGTTTAGGCACTCAAAATCATCCTTCATGGTTTTTCAAGAAGATTCGAAGCTAACTAGACTTGGAATATGTGAAATGGTGTGACTTGCGATAAAAATTGACGAAAAAATTTAGAGCTAGGTTTGAGATATTTGGACCTAGTTCGATGCGAAACGGGTCAATCATCAAAACTAATCGCTATAAGCCATGACCTATGAGTGATTTTGGTAAAAAAATATAATTTAGGCCCTCAAAATTAACCTTGATAGTTTTTCAAGAATATACGAGCCAAGCTCGACTTGGAATACGTGAAACGGTGGGAATGTGATAAAAGCCGACAAAAAGCTGTTTGGCGAGGTTTAAGCTCGTTTGGACCTAGTTTGATGTGAAACGGACCAACGATCAAAACTCATCGCTATAAGCTATGACCTATGAGTGATTTTAGTAAAAAAAGAAAAAAGTTTAGGCTCTCAAAATCGGCCTTCATAATTTTTAAAGAAGATATGGGCCAACCTGGGCTTGGAATAAGTGAAACGGTGTGAGAGCGATAAAAAATGATGAAAAACTATTGAGATAGGCTTAAGCTCGTTTAAACATAGTTTGATGCGAAACGGGCCAACGACCAAAACTCATAGCTATAAGCCATGACCTATGAGTTATTTTTTGTCGGAAAAGGTAGTTTAAGCCCTCAAAATCAGCCTTCATGACTTTTCAAGAAGATGCGGACCAACTAGTTTTAGATTATATCGAACGATGTGAGAGCAATAAAAACCGATGAAAAACTATCAACACAATTTTGAGCGATTTGAACCTAGTTCGATGCGAAATGGGCAAATGATCAAAACTCATTGCTTTAAGCCATGATCTATGAGTGATTTTGGTCAAAAAATGTAGTTTAGGCCCTCAAAATTAGCATTCACGGTTATTCAAAAAGATGCGACCAACTAGATTTAGAATACTTCGAACATTATGAGAGTAAGAAAAGCCGAAGAAAAACTATCGACCTAGTTGTGAGTTGTTTGGACCTAGTTTGATACGAAACGGGCCAATGATGAAAACTCATCACTATAAGTCATGACCTATGAGTGATTTTGGTAAAAAAAATTTAGTTTAGGCCCTCAAAATTATCCTTCATGGTTTTTCAAAAAGATTCGAGCCAACTAGACTTGGAATACGTGAAATGGTGTAAGCGTGATAAAAATTGAGGAAAAACTTTAGAGCTAGGTTTGAGCTATTTGGACCTAGTTCGATGCAAAACGGGTCAATGATCAAAACTAAATGCTATAAGCCATGACCTATGAGTGATTTTGGCAATATATATATATATTAGGCCCTCAAAATTAGGCTTCACGAGCTTTTCAAGAAGATATGGGCCAACTGAACTTGGAATACGTGAAACGGTGGGAGTGTGATAAAAGCGACGAAAAAATGTCCGGCGAGGTTTGAGTCAGTTTGGACTTAGTTCGATGTGAAACGGGCCGACGAACAAAACTCATAACTATAAGCCTTGACCTATGAGTTATTTTGGTCAAAAAAATTAATTTAGGCCCTCAAATTCGAGCCTTAAAAATTTTTCAAAAAGATACGAGCCAACTCGGACTTGGAATAAGTGAAACGGTTTGAGTTCGATAAAAGCGACGAAAAACTATTAGGCTAGGTTTAAGTTGTTTTGACTAAGTTCCATGCGAAACAAGCCGGGCCAATGATCAAAACTCATCGTTATAAGTCATGACCTATGAGTGAGTTTGGTAAAAAAATATATATATAGTTTAAGCCCTTAAAAGTAGCCTTCATAATTTTTCAAGAAGATACGGGCCAACCAAAATTAGAATATGTGAAACGAGTGTGAGTGCGATAAAAAATGATAAAAAACTATCGTGCTAGGTTTGAGTCATGTTTGGACCTAGTTCAATGCGAAACGGGCTAATGAACAAAACTCATATATATAAGTCATGACATATGAGTTATTTTTTGTCAAAAAAGGTAGTTTAGGCCCTCGAAATCGGCTTTCATAGCTTTTTAAGAAGATGTAGACCAACCTGGTTTTGGATTATGTTGAACGGTGTAAGAGCGATAAAAGCGATGAAAAAATATCGACCCAATTTTGAGCGATTTGGACCTAGTTCAATGCAAAACGGGCCAACGATAAAAACTCATTGCTTTAAGCCATGACCTATAAGTGATTTTGGTTATAAAATGTAGTTTAGGCCCTCAAAATCAGCATTTACATTTATTCAAGAAGATACAACCCAACTGGATTTAGAATACTTTGAATGTTATGAAAGCAAGAAAAATTGAAGAAAAACTATCGACCCAGCTTTTAAGCTGTTTCGACGTAGTTTGATACGAAACAAGCTAACGATCAAAACTTATCTCTATAAGCCATGACCTATGAGTGATTTTGGTAAAAAAAATAGTTTAGGCCCTCAAAATCAACCTTCATGTTTTTTAAGACGATACGGTCCCATTGGACTTGCAATACGTGAAACCGTGTGAGTGCGACCAAAACCGATAAAAAGCTCGTCGAGTTAGGTTTGAGTTCGTTTAGAGCTAGTTCGATGCGAAACGGGCCAACGACCAAAACTTATAGCTATAAGCCATGACCTATGAGTTATTTTGGTGAAAAAATATAATTTAGGCCCTCAAAATCGGTCTTCAAAGTTTTTTAAAAAGATACGAGCCAACTTGGACTTTGGATACATGAAACGGTGTGAGTGCGATAAAAACGGATGAAATGCTATCGACCTAGTTTTGAGCTATTTGGATCTAGTTCGATGTGAAATAGGCCAACGATCAAAACTCATCGCTATAAGGCATGACCTATAAGTTATTTTGGTAAAAAAATATATTTTAGGCCCTCAAAAGCGACCTTCATGGTTTTTCAAGAAGATACGAGTCAACTTGGACTTGGAATATGTGAAACGGTGTGAGTGTGATAAAAATTGACGAGCGACTATCAAGCTAGGTTTAAGTCGTTCGGACCTAGTTCGATGCGGAACAAGCCAACAATCAAAACTCATCACTATAAGCCATGACCTATGAGTGATTTTTGTAAAAATAAAATATAGTTTAGGCCCTCAAAATCGGCCTTCATAAGTTTTTAAGAAGATACGAGCAAACTGGACTTAGAACCCATGAAATGGTGCGAGTGTGATAAAAAATGACAAAAAACTATCGAGCTAGGTTTGAACTCGTTTGGACCTAGTTCGATGCGAAATGGGCCAACGACCAAAACTCATAAGTATAAGTCATGACCTATGAGTTATTTTGGTGAAAAATTAGGCCTTCAAAATCGGCCTTCAAAGTTTTTCAAGAAGATACGGGCCAACTAAACAAGTATGAGCGCGATAAAAGCCGATGAAAAACTATTAGGCTAATCTTGAACTTTTTGGAACAAATTCATTGGGAAATGGGCTAGCGATCAAAACTCATCGCTATAAGCCCGACCTATGAGCGATTTTGGTAAAAAAATAAATTTTAGGCACTAAAAATCATCCTTCATGGTTTTTCAAGAAGATTCAAGCCAACTGGACCTATAATACATGAAACGAGTGTGAGTGCGATAAAAAGTGATGAAAAACTATCTAGCTAGGTTTGAGCTATTTTGACCTTGTTCGATGCGAAACGGGCCAACGACCAAAACTCATAGCTATAAGTCATGACTTATGAGTCATTTTGGTAAAAACAAATTATAGTTTAGGGTCTCAAAATCAGCCTTCATGGTTTTTCAAGAAGAAACGGGCTAAGCTGGACTTGGAATATGTGAAACGAGTGTTAGTGCGACAAAAGCTGATGAAAAACTATTGGGTTAGGCTTGAGTCAGTTTGGACCTAGTGTGATGCGAAATGGGTCAATGACCAAAACTCATAGCTTTAAGCCATGACTTA